TAGGCGGTTTGAGGAAAAGTCCCCCCTCCATTTTTTTGGTAGGCTATATAATGTATATTGCTTAATCAGCTGTTGGGCTATGATTCTAAAGGTAAGGGTCAAGCATTGATCTCTATTATCGATGGGGTCAAGAGTAGGGGATAGATTTCTTCCCCTAAATATTGTGAATTATAGTCAAATATGATTATGATTTCTGTTTTTATAGGAGGCAAATTTGACTTTGAAGACCTCAATTGGAAGACAAGATCGTACAGTGCACTAAGAGCTTATCAGCAAAGCAAACTTGCTAATGTGCTCTTCAGCAAGGAACTCGCTAGAAGATTAAAAGGTAGTTTAAATTGAGTAATTTTATAATTTAGGCTTTTTCTGTTCATTTACAAGAAATATTTAACTAATCAACTTAGTTAACTTATTCAACAGGTAAGTAATAATCAGGTCACATCCATTTGGTGCATTGTTTTGGGTATTCAATGGTTTCAATATAAGCTGCTTGGAAGCACTAAAGTCTGCAAATATATGCATTGGTATTGCAGGTAAGGAATGGGCTGTCAAAGATGCTACACACTTGATCTCACATTAAGGATAATATAATTTTTTATTTATAAATTTAAATAGTCTACATTTGCTCAGATCTAAATTGAGTATTTTATATACTTTTTTTATATTTATGGTGTTGTTATGACACAACATTGTGTTATCATAGACAAATAGAATAAATATAGACTGGCAGCAGTGCTGCGGTTAGCATATGTTCCGGTGCCCACCGCTAGGAGTGCTGTGTAGTTACAGCGCACATTGCTGCAGAATGATAGCTTAAGGCTCCTACGCTCCTCGCCTGCAGCATTGTGGGCCGAAACTACACGGTACTCCTAGCGGTGGGTGCCGGAAGCTTCCTTTTACAGTCTATATTCATTTGATTTGTCTATGGTGTTATGCAAATAATATATTTCCTCACACAAGACCTAACATTGTTACCCTTCAAAAAAGTGTACATGAGATCTTCTAATTTGCCCATTTCCAGCTTATACACAATTTCCCTATATCCAAATCATCACACACTAACAAAAGCCAACCCTACACATTAAGCAGTACAGTATAATAACCTGTTCATTGTGGTATTGCAGTTGTTTAAATTGTTTGATGCTTTCTAAACTTGAAATTACAAAGTGATTCACCTCTATACAACCGTGTCAACATTTCTTTGCTGTATTCCAGACAAGAACGTGACAACATACTCGCTACATCCTGGTGTCATCAGGACAGAGTTGGGCCGTCACATGGACACAGTCTACTTCCGAGGTGCTCGCAATCTGGCTGCCACGCTCGGCTACTTCTTCTACAAGACTGTAGACCAAGGCGCTCAGACAACCTTGCACTGCGCCCTGGATGAGACTGCCGGCTCTCAGACTGGCTTGTACTACAGGTGGGTCTTAAGCTATAAGCCATATCAACCACTAGGGGTCAATGGAGCTGATTGTGGAAGTGTTTGCTGCTGGGACTAAGCCCAGATAGCAACACAAAAATTGAGACATTTCATGTTCTCCTAATCCTAATAGCTAATAAAAGGCATTCGTTTATTAGGTTGCATTTTTATTTTCTAAACTTCCTTCTTTAGTTACTTACAGTAGACTCCCTCTTATCCGGACTTCTCGGGACCAAGGCCAGTCCGGATAACAGTTTTATCCGATTAAACCGACGTCCCCAAAAACTCGTTAAAACGGACCGTTTAAATGCGTATTTGACGTAAATCTAGGAGAGAATTGTATCACTGGTCTCAAATCTTTCCCAAGAAGAGAGTTGTTTCAGTACCACCCACTTCCTGCCGATCTAGTCCGGTTAAACAGATGTGCTGATAAAAATTGTCTGGTTAATGAGATGTCATTTCCGCCGAGTGTAGTCCGGTTAAACCGATGTCCGGTTAAAAGATGCCCGGATAAGAGGAAGTCTACTGTAAAAATTTTCCTATCTTTTCATTTTAGCGAATTTCCCATATAGGGAATAAGCTATTACCGTAGTACTCATGGTAAGACCTGGACGCGGGACCGATTTTTTTTTCGTTTTGAGGTCCCTACAGGCCAAAAACACCATCCGTTCAAATTCATATATATATATATATATATTTATATAAATATACACGAGGAACACGTTCGGAGCTCGCGATATATTCAATACATCCAGCGCCCAATGGGACCGCCTGGCCCGGAGCTCCCATTGTAGTCTGCATGCCTATAATGCAACAGTTTATGCGATGATATATTTTGAGCCATATCACACTAGGAGCTCCCAGTGTTGACAACACAAAAATCTAAATATTCCCTGTGTTACAACTAGTAATTTTGAATTACATTTTAATTTATTGTAAGCTGTGTTATGCTCGTATTCATAGGTTTCACAAACACGTGTCAGAATGTTTTGGTTATTATATTTTACTCTATTTGCTTTGCAAACGGTAATACGGAATTAAATAACTGTTTGTGATAAATACGTCTATTTACAGGTGCACTACCAACCGTCATACTACTCTGTATGTATAGTATCCTGACACCTGGTAGGGAGTGTGTTAAACAAACATATGTGACAAAATACATTTATGTTGTACGGTCTAATGTGTGAGTTGGAATGTATCATATAGTCTACTCAACCGGACCTCCCTCCATAGATGAATATAATAGATAAGCTGCTTTCCTTAATGCGGTTACAAAAACTTTTTAATATTGAATTTGTTACTCTCCGTCCGTTTATGGCACAGTCTATGTTACGTTTGGTATTACCATTGCATGCCAAATACGGCTACACAAGCCGGCCAATGTCTGACCTCCTGTGCCTAATTATAGCCGTATATGAATAATGGTGAACATAAAGCAATAACGCGATATGATATATCGCAAAGTATGTCAGATAGTTGTGTCAAGACCACATCTGATAGAACAACGCATTTACGCAGTGACCTTGGGTTGGGTGGCGCGCCAGTCCGCCACTGAGATCAACGGCACTAGAACCCGGTGACCCCCCCCCCCTTTCACACGTGCCTGTACCAATACGGCTCAAGCCATCACTCACCCTTTTATAATAGTTATAATTATTTAAACTACACTCCCTCATAAGTTGAACTAGCAAAGGATATTCGTAAGAAAACTTTTTGCATTCAAAGTGTTAAATTGAGTGTTTTCTCAAGCAGAATAGAACGTCATAAACTGCGACTTGAAAAATTTGAAACCCCCACCATTTATTTTTGTTGTCAAACAAAGTCGAGGTGGTCGAGGTTACGAAATTTGTATTTCAATCAGAGAGCCGATGCCAAAGTTGTCTGATTTCAGCAGAAACTTAGATCGAAATCAGACTTCTTGATAACCAGCAACATGACTTATTAATAAAGAGCGGTTATGAAAGAGTTATAACCATATTAGAAACATTTGTCGTCAAATTACTTAGTCAGTAGTTGCAAATTAATTTCTACGAATTTTAAAAAGAAAGAAATCTTATTAATAAAGCAAAACTACTTAGTTTTTGTAGATATTTTTTCATAGAAAAAAATTGTAATTAGAAATAAAGCAATATGTTCTCCATTGGAAATACCGTCAGAACAATATATATTTGCACGTGAAGCCCGTCGCGTTCAAAAAAGCGTGAGGTGATCGGTCACCGGCTCTTGCCCTCACGTTATACACGTTTAACGAGTGGTGCTGTGCTGCTACCTACCGATTACTAAGTTGATTAATGACGACACATAGTAAAGACGTAAATAATTGAAGGTTTGGGGTGTGCCAAACTGTTTTTCACGCTAAATTGTTTAGCTCTAAACAGTAGACAGCGCTAAACAGTTTAATGAAACCGTTGTCAAACAATAGTTTAGCTCACAACCTGTTAGCCTAGATGTTAGCCATCATCCAAATATTTATAAAATAAATATACTGTCAGATAAGTTGCCAACAAATAGTTATTATTAAATATAGTTGTTTGGCTCGAAAATAAAATTTATTTTGGAAACAACGGGGCGTGTTCGTGAAAAATATTATAAAGGGAGTTAATTAGGTAAAATTAATTAACGTTTTTCACTTCTTAAGCTCACTTTAACCATTTCATTACAGCTAAGGATGTGGTGTTAATAAGATAGTTAAATTAGTATTCTCTGTGAAGAAAGAAAAAATGCTCAGACCATTTGAAAAATGAATTAAACAATATATTTATTCAATCGAGAAATAACTGATAGTTGATAATACCGGTTATTTTAAGCCTCTCTGTTTTTATTTCTCTCTCTTAAAAATCAAATAAAGAAAGAACTTTACATTTTTGGTGACATTAATTTGTACTATTACTCTCAATGACACTGCTGTGGCTGTCCTAGTTAGCTATGGTTATCTCAGTATACTTTTTATTTGCTGAAGTGCACAGTGTGCCACTTAGCCTTAGAAACCTCTGTGTATTATGATTTTGTTGTAGGCCTAATGAAACTTTGTCTAGAAGGAATTTCCATTGTCTGTGTTACCGGGCAGAAGTTTTTTTTTTAATGAAGCCGTTCTAAGTCACGCGTGTCTGGTTTTGAACAGCACATGTAATTCTAATTGAAGAAATACATGTGTTATTCCGTTTATCTCACGTTGTTGGATAGACAATACTATGGTAATTTAATTTTAAGTACTCCAATTGTCTAACTGGCACTACCTGACGCACTCTTGTTTTAAGTTTGTCCACGAAATAATGTAGTATATATCCCCTTACATATTTGCATTTTATTGTGTAACTGTCCACAAGTACCAGAGTAAGTACTTCAATATCATCTTAAGTACCTTTGATTTATACATACCTAGTAGTCACAGAGAGCTGGAACCCTTGACAACCGCAATTACATCTGACCGTTTAAAAAAAACTGCGTTTGGCAGTAACAATACAATCGAAATCGATCACCAATTACCATCTTTTGTATATTTACCGTCTTGTGAGTAACAGTATAAGCGTAAATATATGTTTTAAGTGTTATAAGACGTATCTTTATTTACTTTCCTAAATTTAATAACACGTACAATGCTGATCAAGAAGTTAGTTATACCTGTGTCAATTGAAGCAAATAAAACTGTAACCGACAGATAATGCAGAATATCGAGTAGTTCTTGAGTAAATTAAACAAATTGTTATGGCTATTAAAACAAATGACTGCAATTTGTAATTATTTTAGAAAAAATGGTGTTACCAGGGGCCCATTTCATAATAAACTACAAGTTACAAGTTACAAGTTACAACTTGTAACTTGTAATTTCCATTAGATTTGCATTGGGCGATCAGCTGATTTGCTAATAATATTAGTTTGTATTTTATTATGAATTGGGCCCCAGGTAGGCTACATTACCAATGCGGAATATATACATGGACAACTTTATGCGGCTATGGGTAAGTCAGGAAACATTTGTAGAAAACATTAAAAAAACACGACCAGCTTCTGAAAAATGATAAGAAAATTGCGACATGTAATAGCGGTACTTGGCAACTGCTCGATTTCGAGCAATAGGTACACTATAGTCCGTGAGTTAGGCGAAGGACTTTAAGGGTTTTAAGGTTACAGCCTTCACACACTCAGAGACACACATACACACACACACACACACACACATGGGTCACGCGTCGTGGTGTAGGTGGGGCCCTGCTTGCGAGTGGTGGAAGGGACGTGGAGGTAGAGAGTCCTTCACAAACCTCACGGACTATAGTCAATTTTAAATTATAACCTTGGTTCAGATAATCTTCTGACGGACTTAGGAGATAGGGAGGTCGTTTTTGGGAGACCTAGAAATATGTCTAGGGTTATAAATTCTTGTCTAGAAGCTACGCAGGTCAACGAACGAACGAACGTCAAAGAGATGCCGCTGTCTCGTGGCGTGGTGGGTAGTCGACAGGTGTTTGCACGGTGACACTATAGGGAGGGAAAGTAGGGAAGGGAGCAAAACCACGTCGGTCAGTGCTGGATCAGCCCATATATGCCATTCTTTGTTGTAGTTTGTAGTATCGGGAAAATACAGAGTGGTGCCGTTTTCGACACTTAGTTATTAGATCCCTGACCTTGGTTGATTTTATGATTTTCCCATTAGCTACGTTTGTCGCTGTAAAATGGTATGTTATAAACCACACACGAATAACACGTTACCTTAATAATATTATTTATTTATTTATTTATTTATTTTATTTTCAATGCTACAAAACAGCACATGCCAATTACTTTGTAGCATTAATCAAATAACAGGAATGTTAACATGATATTACAATTAATAATAATACAACTAGGGAAAAAATGTCCGTCTTCAATGGTGACAGTTTCACTCAAAATATAAATAAAGAATATAAAATATAAATAAGAATATAAATAAGAATTAAGAATTAGGATAGACTACCGTTAAACGTTGAAGGAATATTTTAGAGAAAAACAACTCACTCATT